CACGGAGATGAAAGATGACCCAAAGGGTAACACTTTCCAATAATATCATTGGTTAAGTCTGTGTAGTGTCTGAATAACAGCGCAAATAATTTTTTTTTCGTAAAAAATGTTTTTTTTGAAAATTTTGGCCCCTTTGACCTTGGAATAAAGGTCAAAGGTCAAATCCAAGGGCATATTTGTAATCTACACATATGACTTTTGGAAAGCCGTCTGTAGAAATTTTTCCCATAATTCCTTCCGTAGGGTAGATAATTGGTATTGAATTTTCAAAAAATTTGACAAGGGTGCATTTCAACGAGCGTCACACCCAGGTCAATGCACCGACTGAGACAAAAAAACCTGGGTGTCCAAGTTGAGGTTATATGTGACCTAAATCCAAGAGATGGGGACAGGGGTCCTTGTGGTCTAGGAGGAGAAGCGGTAACGGTGACTTGTATCCGGCGCCAGTATGCGGAGCCGGCGGAGCTCACGGAGCCGGCGGAGCCAACGGAGCCGGACGAGACGGGTCGGGACTAAAACCATGAGTACCGCCAGCGTACAAGCTGGTGGTACTAATAAACTGCAAAGTGCTATTTTGGACTTTCATCTGGATTTATCATTTCAACTCCGCTGTTACTAAGCTGTATCATTTGCCACATTTTTAAACACAACAAAAATATCATTATTACGAATTAAACAAGCTCTTCCGATAATACTTGTCATGGAACTTTTTTGTTGGTCATATTTGGGTTAGCACTTCTTTTAATTCAGTCCATTAATCCAGTTAATATATGTGCTAACTACTATGTAAAAATACAGCCTCATGGTTACGTCTTGCAATCTGTAAAGCTTACAGGTTAAACAAGATTTTAAAAATCTGTTAACTGATTTCTTATTGTTAAATCAGCAACAAACAAACCAATTATTGGTATGACAGTTCTTTGAGGAATATTTTATTTGCAAGCATGAGGGCTCAAGTTTCTGCAAACAGCAACATCAGCACAAACACTATATTCAATCAGGAGGACTGACTCCTTAATAGCGTAACATTTTATCTTGAATAATTAAGTAAACAGGAATCCAATTCTTCATCAGAGCTGAAAGACTGCAGCCATACAAGAACATATATTTTGTATGGGTTTAAAACATCATTTCATAATAAAGTTTTATCATAAGTACCAACATCTATTCTGCTTTCTGCAAGATATATTCCCTCCTGAGCTTTGGATGACATCTGTGGAATGATCATCAAGTATTTAATGCTAAAAAATCTTTGATCTCATAAAACTGTATCAGTGACTAAAACATCAGTGTTGTAATTGTTTTCTGTCATATACAAAGTCTGGCATGCTGATGGCCACGTCATTTCCTCCATGGAAAGCCACCGTTCCTGCAGGTGCCCCAGTCTGAACTCGCCCCCACCACTGGAATGCAGGGCCTTGCTCATACTGAAATCATAGCAACAACTATTTCAATATGCAGGGGAACCATTTGATATGATTACCAAAAATATAGGATTCTGACTTACAATAAATAAAAAAATGTATTTTTAAAGAAACTGCTGCAATGGCTGTACCAAATGTGCCTTTTAGAATAAACTGTTTGATACTGAATACTTTATTTTGTAAGATGCATTTGATATTAACTAAAACGGCTTAACAAATATTTTCTAAAATTCTTTGAGAGAGAGAGAGAGAGAGAGAGAGAGAGAGAGAGAGACATCTTACCTTCTTCTTCGCAGAAAGAGGCACACAACAATAATGATTGACTAATAGGATGACCACAAGTATAATGGGGACCACAGTGGCAGCTGTTTCTGAAATAGCACATTTACTGGGAATGTTTCAACTCAGAAAGGGAAATAATCCATCAAAAAGGTATCAGGGACATATTTACAATGATAAAAATTACCATACAACAATATTCCAAGAACAACCAAGACTGACATAAGATGAATATACTTAGATACAAAACGTCAAAAGAAACTTACCATGAGACACAGTCACACCTGTGCCCCCTGGTGTGATGAGGCACAAGTGAGTGCGGCCACCGTTGTTGTCCCAACAGAGATTTGCACCTAAAATAGGTACACCTGTAAACAATAACAACAATAAAGTACTTAGTCATATTATATATCAAGCTTCCATGTAATTTGGTATCCACAGATGTCCTTACATACCTACTTTGAAATATTCTATTGTAATCACTCAACTTCTTACAAATTCTGTAAGGACAAAATACTTCAAATTTTCACTTAATTATTTCAGTTTAATTCTTGAAAAATGAACAGATAAAATCAAAATTCACGAAATGAATATATTTGATCCAAAATTTAATATTTTCACTTTTATATTTGACTAAATAGTCATTTCTTGGCAAAATCTAATGTAAACTAAATAATTTTTTCAGTACCTTTTATCTGTTGCAGAGGATGCATGACCTTGAGGTCCATGGGCCTGTGGATTGTGTTGACCAGTGATGTCTGGTTAGTGCCTGTGTACTTGTCAGCTTTTTCAATACTCAGATGGTTCCAATCAGTCCAATATATCCAGTCTTCAAATACAGCAATGGCAAATATGTGGGCTATTCTGACTCCTGACAATGACCAATTAACTGTCTGTTGCTGCCATCAAGGTCGTCATACCTGAAATGTAACATAGTATGTATTAGATTTTACGACATTTGGTATAAATGGAACAAGAAAAACTACAGAACCTGCAGTGAACTGTTTATGTCTCTGTTAAAAGAAGATCAACTTTACAACCTCCAGACCTGCTTGGCGATGGGGCAGGTAATAACCCTTGACAGTACCACATACTAAATTTAGTTACATTTGCCAACTTAAAATTTATAAACATTTTATCAAAAAAAAAAAAAAAAAAAAAAAAGGAAGGACATAAGCATATATAAACAAATATTAGTCTGTCCAGTAAATACATCTGGAATAAAATGCATAGCATATAAGACATATTTTAAATTAGATATATATAAATCAATTGTTATATCAAATGTGAGTTTGCAGTCCCTGACTTTTTATCTGGCCATTAAAATTTTATTTGTATTATTATCATTATATATTTACAAAATTTTAAGTTCTTTTTTAACCATTTGGGACAAATTCCTATTTATCTTACGTATATTATGCTTATAAAACATAATGAGAGAAATAAATCATAACTCAAAATAACCTTGTTCAAAGAATTAATATTAAGGGCAAAATAAATGAAAAGATGAAACTACTCTGCTAAGATATGCCTAGAATCATAGTATAATAGTGGAGAAGACTAGAAGATGAAACATGTCCACAAGCTTGCATATGCATCAACAGACATGTATACAGTGTATAAGTGCAGTTCTCACTAGAACACACTCTACTATGTTGTGCCAAGGTAATGTTTGTTTTTCAAGTTTCTCTTACCCGAAAATTCCAGGACTTAAAATAGTTAAATGTTAATAATTTTGTCAAATCTTGCCCAATATTTCTGACATTTGTACAAATGGTGCTTAACAACAATAAAAATCTGTGATTAGATGATCTGTTGACTGTATCTAATGAAAAGTGTTTTTTGGGACAATAAATTTGGGACAACTGAAATTTACATTGAAACAACTGGCAAATCCCATGACTTAAAAATTTTAAAGTGAAATATTATTCATTTTGTCAAATCTTGTCCAATGCTTCTGAAAATTGTACAAATGATGCTTAACAACAATAAAAATCTGTGATAAGCTGATCAGTTGTCTGTTTTTAATGAAAAGTTCTTTTTGGGACAATATATTTGGGAAAACTGAAATTTACATTGAAAAGACTGGCAAATCCAAGGACTTAAAATATTTAAACATTAATAATTTTGTCAAATATTGTCCAATATTTCTGAAATTTGTTCAAATGATGTTAAACAACAATACAAATCTGTGATAAGCTGATCAAATGACTGTGTCTAATGAAAAGTGTTTATTTTGGACAACATATTTGGGAAAACTGAAATTTACATTCAAAAGACTGGCAAATCCCAGGACTTAAAATAGTTAAACGTTAATAAAATGTTCAAATCTTGTCCAATATTTCTGAAATTTGTACAAATGATGCTTAACAATAATAAAAATCTGTGATTAGATGATCTGTTGACTGTATCTAATGAAAAGTGTTTTTTGGGACAACATATTTGGGGAAACTGAAATTTACATTGAAAAGACTGGCAAATCCAAGGACTTCAAATAGTTAAATGTTAATAATTTTGTCAAATCTAGTCCAGTGTTTCTGAAATTTGTACAAATGATGCTTAACAACAATAAAAACCTGTGATAAGCTGATCAAATGGCTGTGTCTAATGAAAAGTATCTTCTTTTGACAATATCCTTGAAAAAAACTGAAAATTACACTGAAAAAACTGGCAAATTCCATGGCTTTAAATAGTTAAATGTTAATAATTTTGCAATGTGATTATAAAATAAAATAGCAAATGTGATGATTTGAGGTTGTTTGTGTAGGAGGTTGCAAATTACCTATAACTGTTATCTGAAAAACAATATATACCCATACAAGACTTCTCCTTACTATCAATGCCAGATGCAGATTACTCCTTACAATTGGTTTCTGGAATGGGTTGTTGTTTTCACAACATCTGACAATG